TAATGGCGCGAGTGTGTGTCAGGGATTGCGGGTTTCGCCGCGGCACACGGGTCTGCGCGTGCGCAGATTGCCTAGGTGCACCAATGCGCAGGCACTAGGACCTGGGTGCCCGCAGAGGCAATTGAGGCCACGCATGTGCACTCGCGCACGTGGGCGCGCCTGGCACCAATGACGGTGCAGGGCGCGCTATTTAACCACTTGCTGCCCAGCCACTGTATATAAATGGCGGCAGGGCGGCACTCGCAGGCAAAACCACGTTTTAAAACGTGTGTTTTGTAAACAAATAGGGGGCGCGCGCGAGGCGCGCCCCTGCCCTATCTGTCCCATGGATGTGAGTCGCCGGGTCACAGCTGTTCCTTAGCGGCTGTTTCCCGGCGATCGGCGGCAGACAGTGACAGAGAGCACAGCTGCAGTAGCTGTGCTGTCTGTCACTTCCCTGTCAGCTCGAGGATGAGCTGATCGAGAAAGAAGAGTTTCTCTTTCTCGATCAGCCTTGTCCCGCCTTGTACACACCCCGCCCCCTAGTAAAACACTCCCCCTCACTCCTATAACCCTTCCCTGCAAAATAAAGTTAACCCTTCCTCCTATTGCCATTAGTACAGTTTCAGTGTTTTTTTGTTTTTGCACTGATCACTGTATTGGTGTCACTGGGGATGTCAGTGTGACCCCAAGTCAGTACCCCCCAATGTCAGAATGTCCGCCGCAGTCCCGCCATAAGTCGCTGGTCGCTGCCATAAGTCCCTGATCGCCGCGATAATTCGCTGATCGCCGCCATTATTAGTATAAAAAAACCCTAAAAATTCCAGTATCTTTCCCGCCATTTGTAAACGCTATAACTTTCACGTAAACCAATTAATTTACACGTATTGCGTTTTTTTTTTAGCAAAGACATGTCGCAGAATGCATTTTGGCAGAAATTTATGACGAAATTTGATTTTTGCATTTTTTTTTTACTGGACATGTTTTATAGCAAAAAGTCCAAAATATTTTTTTTTTCCTCAAAATTGTCAACCGCACAGGCGATCAAATACCACCGAAAGAAAGCTCAATTTGTGGGGAAAAAAAGGATGCAAATTTCATTTATGTACCGTATTGCATGACCGCGCAATTGTCCGTTAAACTAGCGCAGCGCTGTATAGCAGAAAAATGGCGTAAATTGCAGTATCTATCCCATAGTTTGTAGACGCTATAACTTCACACAAAGCAATCAATATACACTTATTGGGATTTTTTTTACCAAAAACATGGAGCAGAATACATTTTGGCCTAAATTTATAACCAACTTTGAGTTTATTATATATTTTTTATAGCTGAAAGTAAAAAATATTGTTTTTCTTCAAAAGTTTTGGCCTTTTTTTGTTTTATAGCGTGAAAAATAAAAAGCGCACATGTGATCAAATTACACCGAAAGAAAACTCTATTTGTGTGAAAAAAAGGACGTAAATTTTGTTTGGGTGCAACATTGCATGACCGCGCAATTATCAGTTGAATTAGTGCAGCGCCGAGTAGCAAAAAGAGGCGTGGTCATTAAGGGGGGTAAATCCTCAGGAGGGCAAGTGGTTAAGCAGGAATTTCCCAAAATTCAAACTGTGAATGACCAGCATAACGGTTAGAATTTGGAAAAATCCAAACCCATATTAACCACCTCCCGCCCGCATATATAGTACAATGACGGGTGCAAGGTGGTTCTCTCGTTCTAGGAGGACGTCATATGACGTCCTCCCATTCTCACTGCGCATGCGCGGCTCTGGGGGCGCGCAGCCCGGTGATCGGCGGTGCGCTGTGTCCCTCGGACACAGCGGATCACCAATCACGAAAAGAGCCGAAGATGTCGGCTCAGTCATGTGATCAGCTGTGTCCAATCACAGCTGATCACATGTAAATAGGGTAATGCCGGTTATCGGCATTTCTCTCCTCTCAAACTGTCTCGCTGACAGAGGAGAGGAGAGCCGGTAATTGGCTTTCCGCAGAGGGGACATCTACACTGATCATCGTGGCACTGATGATCAGTGTGCCCTGATGATCAGTGTGGCCCCAGATGTACCACCTGTCAGTGTCCATCAGTGCCAGTGCCCATCAGTGCCACCTGTCAGTGCCCATCAGTGCCACATATCAGTGCCCATCTGAGCTGCCTTTCAGTGTCACCCATCAGTGCCAGTCAGTGCCACCTATCAATGCCAATCAGTGCCACCTATCAGTGCTGCCAATCAGTGCCACCTATCAGTGCCAGTCAGTGCCGCCTATCAGTGCCAGTCAGTGCTGCCTATCAGTGCGCATCAGTGCCGCCTATCAGTGCCAGTCAGTGCCGCCTAACAGTGCCAGTCAGTGCCGCCTAACTGTGCCAGTCAGTGCTGCCTTTCAGCGCCCATCAGTGATGCCTGTCAATGCCCATCAGTGCCACCTACCAGTGCCTTCTCATCAGTGCCCATCAGTGCCACCTATCAGTGTCGATCAGTGCAGCCTATCAGTGCCCATCAGTGCAGCCTCATTAGCGCAAATCAGTGAAGGAGAAAAATCACTTATTTACAAAATTTTATAACAAAAACTAAGAAAAAACATTTTTTTTTTTTTAAATTTTCAGTGGCTTTGGTTTGTTTAAGAAAAAATAAAAACCCCGAGGTGATTAATTACCACCAAAATAAAGCTCTATCTGTCACAAAAAAATTATAAAATTTTCATATGGGTACAGTGTTGCAAAATTGGCCTGGGCAGGAAGGGGGTAGAAGTGTCCTGTAGGCAGGAAGGGGGTAGAAGTGCCCGGTAGGCAGGAAGGGGGTAGAAGTGCCCGGTGGGCAGGAAGGGGGTAGAAGTGCCCTGTAGGCAGGAAGGGGGTAGAAGTGCCCGGTAGGCAGGAAGGGGGTAGAAGTGCCCGGTGGGCAGGAAGGGGGTAGAATTGCCCTGTAGGCGGGAAGGGGGTAGAAGTGTCCTGTAGGCAGGAAGGGGGTAGAAGTGCCCAGTAGGCAGGAAGGGGGTAGAAGTGCCCGGTAGGCAGGAAGGGGGTAGAAGTGCCCAGTAGGCAGGAAGGGGGTAGAAGTGCCCGTTAGGCAGGAAGGGGGTAGAAGTACCCGGTGGGCAGGAAGGGGGTAGAAGTGCCCAGTAGGCAGGAAGGGGGTAGAAGTGCTCTGTAGGCAGGAAGGGGGTAGAAGTGCCCTGTAGGCAGGAGGGGGTAGAAGTGCCCTGTAGGCAGGAAGGGGGTAGAAGTGCCTGGTAGGCAGGAAGGGGGTAGAAGTGTTCTGTAGGCAGGAAGGGGGTAGAAGTGCTCTGTAGGCAGGAAGGGGGTAGAAGTGCCCTGTAGGCAGGAAGGGGGTAGAAGTGCCCAGTAGGCAGGAAGGGGGTAGAAGTGCCCGGTAGGCAGGAAGGGGGTAGAAGTACCCGGTTGGCAGGAAGGGGGTAGAAGTGCCCTGTAGGCAGGAAGGGGGTAGAAGTGTCCTGTAGGCAGGAAGGGGGTAGAAGTGTCCGGTAGGTAGGAAGGGGGTAGAAGTGCCCGGTGGGCAGGAAGGGGGTAGAAGTGCCCTGTAGGCAGGAAGGGGGTAGAAGCGTCCGGTAGGTAGGAAGGGGGTAGAAGTGCCCGGTGGGCAGGAAGGGGGTAGAAGTGCCCTGTAGGCAGGAAGGGGGTAGAAGTGTCCGGTAGGTAGGAAGGGGGTAGAAGTGCCCGGTAGGCAGGAAGGGGGTAGAAGTGTCCTGTAGGCAGGAAGGGGGTAGAAGTGTCCTGTAGGCAGGAAAGGGGGTAGAAGTGCCCTGTAGGCAGGAAGGGGGTAGAAGTGCCCTGTAGGCAGGAAGGGGGTAGAAGTGCCCTGTAGGCAGGAAGGGGGTAGAAGTGCCCGGTAGGCAGGAAGGGGGTAGAAGTGTCCTGTAGGCAGGAAGGGGGTAGAAGTGCTCTGTAGGCAGGAAAGGGGTAGAAGTGCCCTGTAGGCAGGAAGGGGGTAGAAGTGCTCTGTAGGCAGGAAAGGGGTAGAAGTGCCCTGTAGGCAGGAAGGGGGTAGAAGACATGAGGATCTCACTGGGAAGTGTCACTGAGGCAATACAAACTTCTCTGAGCCTAGACCCCATTCCAGAACACTTGGAAGTTGAGCGTGATGGTTGTTCCCTGTGCCTCTCATTTTTAGGTGTTCCTGCATGGCAGACCCCTCCCTGTTATCTCACATATAGATTCTTATTATTATAGCCAAATGTACCACCCTAACTCCTCCCACAGTCTTTACACTACATAGACAGTAATATACCGAAACGTGCGGATTGTTCCCGATTGGATTGCTATGACTTTGTGGAACGTTTCGCCGCATGGTTCACGAAATATCGCTGTTTTTGTGGTGAAATTGGACCCATAAGAATGAATGGCGGAATGTTCAAAGCCAGAGTGTGAGCTGAAAAATCAGGACATGAATTCTAAACTGCCACCACTCCCTCATTTTCAAGGCCACCTACACAAGTCTAATATCAAAACGTTCAGCTATCCCCGCTGCCACTAAAAATGTCCACGGCTAAGCCATAGTCCTGATAGTTTTCACAATATGACCATTTGTTTGCAACTCACCCCTCCCATTGACATTCATTGAAAATCCACTCTAGACACCTGAAATTTGAAGGGCAATTTCTAAACTGCGACTGTGCCTTCATTTTTATTATTTCAGAGACATACTATGCATCAAAATGTAGGTCTGGGTCTCGTGATTTTCACAATATAAAGCTCTTCAGTGTAGGATTTATAGTTTTAAAACTACAACCATTTGAAGATGGCAACCGCCAGTGAAGAGAGCAAGTTGGAGCAGTTTGTTTATAACCATGACTCTCCCCTTGCTGTAGAGTGAGTTGCCATAGGAACCCAGGTGTGTGAGCACACAGCTGAGTGACAAAAGCTACTCCGCCCAGTTACTCCGCCTACTCTGCCAGTTACTCCGCCCACTCCAATTGTAGACTACTGGTGGAGGCAAGAACACTTCACACAATTTCCCAGAAATTGTAGATTTTCTAGTTTATATTATTATTTATGTTTTTTTTATTTTTAACATACAGTCACCCCTACTTGTGGGGGGTGATGAAGATTTTTTTTTTCTTTTTTTACACTGATTGTTTTTACACTGATAAAGGCTGTAAAAGCAATCATTTCTCCTTCTCTCTGGCTGCATTCCTGTAGCCATTGAGAAATACTGTGTGATCTGTGATTGGTCACAGCTTGTCACATGGTACAGGGCTGTCGTGAATAGCCCTGTACCATGTGACCTATGTGATCATTCACAGATTTCACACGTAGTAAGCAGTGATGTCAGAAATGACATCTTACTTACACCTATTCATGTGATCACTGATTGGCCAATCAGTGATCACATGAATCAGGACCTCACACAGAAGACGTTCAGCGATCGGTGTTCTACTGTGTCCGGAGAACACAGCAGGCACCGATTGCTGTGCCATGCACTCCCAGGAAGCATGCACAGGCAATGGATGTAGGGGGACATTTAGAAACGTCCACCCACTTCGGCAGCGCTCCCGTCCAGCCGTTTATCTACATGGGCCTGCCGGGAAATAGTTAATATGGAGTTGCCCCCTACCCCCATGACTATTATGGTGTTGCCCCCTTCCCCTATGACCATTAATATGGATTTGCCCCACTACCCCCATGACCATTCACATAGAGTTGTCCCCCTCCCCCTATAACCATTAATATGGAGTTGCTCCCCTACTCCCATAACTATTAACATGAGCTGCCCCCTTTCTTCACTCCCCCCATACCCATTAATGTGGAGTTGCCCCCATACCCTCATGACCATTAACATGGATTTGTCCCCATCCTCCTATGACTAGTATTGTTGAAGTTGCCCACCTTGCAGCTATAAAATCCTTTTTTCTTCCAGGAAGACTTTGCACAAGATGTTGGAGGGTGCCTGTAGGAATTTCAGCCCATTTGTGAGGTCAGGTACTGATGGTGGATGAGAAGACTTGGCTCACATAGGCATTCCAATTCATCCCAAAGGTGTTCAGTAGGGTTGATGTCAGAGCTCTGTGCAGGACACTCAGGTTCCTCCACACCAAATTGGTCAAACTATATCTTTCTGGAGCTGGCTTTGTACACAGAGGACAGTCATGCTGGAACAGAAAAGGGTCTTCACCAAACTTATCTCAAGGATGGAAGACACTATTATCTACAATGTCTTTCTTTGCTGTAGTATAAATAGTACGGTTCACTAGAAATCACAGCCATTAATATCCCTCACCCTTCCCCTTCCATTTTTTGTGGCTGTACATCCCTCTTGTAAGAAGACACTCTTGTAAGAAGACTTTCTACATGAGGGTTTTTTTGGAGGGTGTCTGTGGAAATACAGTGTGGATGTGGTTTCCATCTATCAGGTCAGGTACTGATGTTGAATGATAAAAACCTGACTCACCATCAACATTCCAATTAATCCCAAAGGTGTTCAGTGGGGTTGAGGTTTAGTGCTCTGAGAAGGACACTTGAAGTTCCTCCACACCAAACTGGTCAAACCATGTCTTTATGGAGCTGGCTTTGTACACAGGGGCAGGGGCTAAGTACCACATGGTGACTGCTGAGGAACTGAGAAAAGATGTGTCAGATGTCATGGTGGAACAGAAAAGGGTCTTCACCAAACCATTACCACATGGTTAGAAGAGCTCAGTTGTCTATAATGTCTTTGTATGATGTTGTATTATATTAACAGTGTCCTTCACTAAAAACCATGGCCAATAATAAGGAGATGCCTGCTTTGTGTCTATAACATCCTCTACTCTTCTGGAAAGGTCTTCCACAAGATTTTGGAGGGTGACTGTGGGAATTTGTCCCCATTTGTGAGGTCAGGTACTGATGTTGGTTGTGCTCTGAGAAGACCTGACGTACCAACGGTGTTCCAATTAATTCCAAAAGGTGATCGTAGGGTTGAGGTAAGGGCTCTGTGCAGGGCACTTAATTTCACCTAACTGGTCAAACCATGTCTTTATGGAGCTGGCTTTGTACACAGGGGCACAGTCATGGTGGAATAGAAAAGGGCCTTCACCAAACTTTTACCACAAGGTTGGAAGGGTACAATTGTCTACAATGTCTTTGTATGATGGAGTATTAACAGGACTCTTCATTTCAAACACCTGAACCCCATCATTTGTAGGGGGGGAGGGGTCTGCATACTGTTGGGAATATAGTGTTCCTAGAAACTAATCAAAAACCATATAACCCCTTTCCTAACCATTTTAACATGTCTTGTATTTTTTTTTTTATGGCTTAGTGGTTAGCATTCCTACCTGGCAAAA